ATCTACCGGGTTTAGAAATGAGGAGTGTTCTGCCTTCTGTCCTTCCCTTCACTCCTCACATCATTTTCTTCTTCTCCTATAGCCCCAATTCATCTGGTTTCTGTTTTTCTTTCTCCATGTCAACTGTTACTGCCTGGTTCTGGCTCTCATTGTGGCCATTGCCTCTACCAGGCCCACTTTCTTCTACTCCATATTATAGCCAGAGTGATTGTGCCACTGCACTCCTGCCTGGGCAACACAGAGAGACTCTGTCTCAAATAAAACGAAACATCAACATTCTTTAATGATTCCCCTGAAGGTAAAGTCCAATTTCATAGGCTCCTCTCCATGACTCTCACACACTTCTCAAACCTTCTCTCTAGTTTTTCCCCCAGGTGAGTTCACTGACGTTCACTCTGAGCTTTTGGCACTTCTCTAAAAAGGACAGCAGGCTAGGAGGTTTGATGACAAATATAATTTTTTAATGAATGATTGAATGGTGAGGCCAATAATACCTTGAAGTACTTTTGTAAGTATTAAATAAAAGAATGTATGTGCAGCTCTTACCTTAGTTCCTGAAACATAGCAGACACCCAGCATATCACCTCCTTCCTCCTTTTTTCTTCTCACCAGTGCAGATGAATGAATTTATAACTCTAAATTCTATTAGGATATTGCAGCTAACGTCACTTTTTGGGAATTATTCCCTATGAATCTCACCTTCTATTTGGTGTTTACTCCAAAAAGACACTCTGGCTTATCTTCAATTCCCAAGAATGTGAATCTTGACACAAATTTAACCTTCTTGGGTAGGCTATCACCCCAAAAACCTATACCTTAATGTTTGAGTCAGATCCTTCCCAAATCTCTTAGAAATATCACCACATGCTCATTATCTGATAAAGCAATAAAGAACAGCTGAGTCAGAGGAAAGACTATCGTAGGGTATGGGTTTACTTTATTTGGACACATTAGGTAGGTGGGGTCATTAGCAGGACCTGAGAGTTCTAGAACTGCTAGCTGCTGGTGCTGGTAGCTATTTCTCAAAATATTTTTTTCTTCCTATAAAATGCTTTCCTTCGCACATCAGATTTCATAAAGACTTCCCATCTGGTCTGCACTCAAATCCAGAGATGCTCATTCCTCTTACAACTTGTAGTTTAAAATGATCCAGATGCAGAAGGATTAGGTTTTATAGCTTCTTCTAAAGGATTTTGTCTTCTTAATCCTGCAACTGCATATGTTGAGAATTGATCCATATGAGAGAGCACTAACAATAAACCTATTAAAGTCTCCCACTGGCTATGTGTACTTTTCATATGATGTGTCTTAGGGGAATGCAATAATGGAATAAAAACACTGACATCTATTTGGCTAAGGACCACAGTAAACCAGGCAATCCACAGTGGATGAGACAAAATAAGAGAACAAAAAATGAAATTTAGAATCAATCTGTATTAGAAAGAGGATTCTCAAGAATTTTACTAATTTGTTATAATCCAGAAAATATGCCAATTGATTGAATTATCTCTATAAATTCTGGTTCTCAGTTTCTTAATCCACAAAACGTGGGAACAAATGAAAAGTAACTGGGATTGTGATGAAAATCTTTTTATCTCCAGGAAGATGAACTTTGTTAAGCTGACTGAGCTAAGCCCCAAATTTTAGGGGCCACAAAACTGCCTCTAGAAAATGATTCAGGGAGGAAATAAACAAAAGAAGCAAGCCACTCTAAAGTGCTGCTGCCCCATTTCTCTTCTCTGTTTATCTGCCTTCTTGTCACTTACTATGGCATACTCATCTTCAATGTTTCCCTGGGATTTATGTTCATATAATTTCACACATAATAAAAATCTGGTAGGTGGAAAAAAAAAGGAGTATAAAGCATGAAATACTAAACTCACCTCTGCCTTGAGATGACCTTGATAATTTATGGCATAAAAGATAAGTTCCTACTTGGTAGAAATTCAGCTTTTGGGCAGTCTCAAGCTTATTTTTTTATGTAAATAATCTTGTAGAAATAGAGGGAATGCTTTCCAATATTGGAATATTAGATTTGATCTTTCACTTTTAAAGGGTAGTGTAGAAATATAATTTCAAGGTGGGCAATAAAAACAAACATGAAAAAAATGACTTGTGAGTAAAAGTGAGATGTAGGGAATTGGACGCTTGAGTAATGAGAAGATGACACAAAAGTTCAGGGCCTGAGCCTTTCTGCAAAGAGGCCTACTTTCTTTTTCTTTCTCTCTCTCTCTTTTTTTTTTTTTTTTTTTTTTTTTTTTTGAGACAGGGTCTTGCTTTGTCATCTAGGCTGGAGTGCAGTAGCATGAATTTGGCTCACTGCAACTTTGGCCTTCTGGGCTCAAGCCATCTTCTTACCTAAATCTCCCAAGTAGCTGGGACTACAGGTGCACACCACTATACTTGGCTCATTTTAAAATTTTTTGTAAAGATGAGGTCTCACTGTATTGTCCAGGCTGGTCTCGAACTCATAGGCTCATGTGATCCTCCTGCCTTGGGCTCCCAAAGTGTTGGAATTACAGATGTGAGCCATTATGCCTGGCTGAGATCCACTTTTCATTTGAAGCCTTGGTATCTTGGTGGTGGTGGGGGTAGCATATTGACCCCACCTGGGCAATAGGAGGTGTTAGAGCCAGGCAGGGACAATGTGCTGCAAATGATATATCCTACCTCCCTCTTCAAGAATAACCCCATCACACAGCAGAAAATGAAAACGTATTGCAGTGTTACCTGGACTAGGGATGTGTCCTGGATTTCGTCTCTTCCTAGGTACCACCTCTGAGAATCCCTGACTTTGTTATTTTTCTCAAAACAATGGAAACCCTATTTACATGATTGCTGCTGACCAGGCATCAAGAAGAAGAAATGGGAAGGAAATCTTTTATATAGACACCAGAATGGCTAACAAAGGTGACATCATGTTGAGTTGCAAGGGAGACACAATTCCCTTGGGCAGATGTTGAGAGACATGAGCCATAGTCTCCATGAACTTGGTGTGGGACTATGCCTTGAATGAAGTCATCATGGCAGAAGTGGAAAGAATGAAAACTTGAGCTTACTATGTTTGTGATGTTATTTCTGTGGAATTTAAAATTTGTCAGCTGGTGGGTACACATTGTTAATTTGAATACTCTTCATTATATAAATAATCTGCTAAGTCTTCATCCCTGGAAATTGTTATGGAAGTGAAAACAGTCACCTAAAGGAATATTTGAACATGCATATACCGAATGACCAGAGTCATGGCTACATTTTTAAAGGCTCTTTTCTAGCTCTGTCATTAGAAGTCTCAGTTGAGATCTATAGCAATCCTTGGAGCTTCTGCAGCCCAAATCAGGTGGTGATGACACAATAGTTAAGTTCTATCAACAATGATGAATCGGGATTTGATTGAGTTTCTCTACATAGCTCTCTTAGTGATGAAATACCTGGGCAGAAGTACTTCTCCCACCTCTATGCAGCAAATTAGTTAGTGGTGGTGCTACACATTTTAGAAATAAGCACCACACTTTGTTTTCAATATGATACAGAAACTGAGCTGAGTCCCACTTAGGAGGTCTGCTTCATCATCACAACTCTGTGGGCTAGAGGGTAAATCTCTGAAGGGAGATAAAAGGCAGGCAAGTATATTTTGTGCATTTGTTAAATGGGCCTCAAACGCCTCCATTCATTTATTTGTTGAAGATGGGGTCATCTCATTTAATTCAGCAGGAAAACAACTCTACCAGAAAGAACAGCTGTCTCAATCTTCTCTGTATTTCAAATATGCTCCTCGTGAAGGAGGTTGCACAGGGAATCAGAACCAGGTGCCTGCTTTGCCCCTGTTGCACAGGGTTAAGTAAGGGAAGTGCCTGACTCACATGTGCATCTGGCTGTTTAAGGTTATGCATATTGTATCTGACTGTATAACTATGGCAAATATATACTCTGGAGCAATGTTAAGTTCAGCTTAGAATGATGGACTGCTTAGGGCTTTGAGGGAAAACATAAGAATGATAAAATGAGCCTAAATTATTCTGGAAGAAACACTGCTGCCCCTACCCATTTGGTGATCTATTATTTCCTCCTGGGCTGCTCCCTCCCCAAGAGATTTGGTGCCGGAGGCAAGGAAGGACAATAAGAAAGGTTAGGAAGAAGCACCTTGGGATGCTGACATTCTCTGCCTTATCCTTCTAACTCAAGGACAAGCAGCGTTGGGTTGAATATAAGGTCCTTTTCCCAAAACTGGATACAGGCAGAAACATATATATATATATATGTACACACACACATATATATGCATAATCACTCTGATCCTGTGATAGGAGCTGGAATCACTTCTCTTTAGCCTCAACTTCCTTTCATTTTCATTAGGTAGGCTGTCAGCGTCTCACCTTGCAGTATTGGTTGGAGATGGCTTAAGATCAAACTTCCCATCTTAACTCTTACTTCCAAGATTTATCTTGTAATTAAAAAAAAAAAATGAGCCTGCCCCATCACCTCCTCACCTGGGTATTTTATTTATCAGGACTGAGCACGGCATTAGTTTCTGAGGGCTGGACAACCGTGCAGTCCTTTCTAATCAAAGGATTTGCAATCAGCTGGCTTTGAAATCACATCGTCCTTCTGGGGTCCCTGGAGCACACCGCCTCCCTGTGATTTCTACTCAAGTTTCCCCCGGCACCCCCCAGCACCCGTTCCATACCTATTTAATCTTTAAGCTCTAATCCTTTTGCAAGGAAGCAGGATAAAATGCTCAAACCACAGTTACACACAATGTTGATTCTCAGGTTCACCCATTTGAGGAATTGTTTGAAGAAGAAACGCGCTCTGTACTGAGTCCGGAGGCAAGCACAGAGCCTGGGCGACCCTCATAGCCTCCCTCTGACACCCCGCACCCCACCTCCCGCTGCCTTTGCGCCTCAAAGCTGCCAAACATCCCCAAGCCAGAGCTGGAGTCCCTGGAGTGGGTCGGAGTAAGAGGGAAGCCAAGGTCGTCCCGGAAGGTGTGCGCCCCTCACCTTGTGGACGGTGCGTGCAGCCGCGCCGCACTGGGCCAACTGGGGCGTCCCGCTGGCTGCAGAAGTCTCACTCGGAACCCGCTCCTTTTCCTTCTGAACTGGATCAAAGCACTGCTTCTCTCAGCACTCGATTCTGGGGTACGCTGAGCTCGGGGCGTTCTCCCCGCCAGCGTCCTTGTTTGTGCCAGTGGCCGCCGGGCTGCGGCGAGAAAGAACCCGGGAGCGCGGGGCGCCGGGCGGCCCGAGGCACCGCGGTTGGCAGGCGCTGCGCTCCGCCGAGTCTGGGCGCCCAGACTGGAAGAGGAGGCGAGAGAACAGGGAAGAGGAGGAGGAGCAGGAGCAGGAGCAGGGGCAGTCTGTTAAATCATCTACGCAGGTCGCAGCCACCCAGGACTCCGTGAATAGAGAAGGGGGTGGGTGGGATGAAAAGATGAGCCTAGGGCTAAGGCAGGTGGTGTGGTGAACTGCGGGTCTCAGCTCCGAGGTGCTCCAGGTCTTGCTTAGGTTGTAAAAGAGAAATTCTGAAGCTGATGGCGCCTTAGGGCTCCCGGTTGCCAACACTAGAGGGCGGGGCTGTCCATGTTATAAAACGGGCCTGCGGGGTTGGAGGTGTGGACAAGGGACTCACCTCCGGAAACCCTGGCCGGCTACAGCCGTCAGAGAAGGGGAGAATAGATACAAGGGGGTAGACCCCATCCCCCTTTTCTGTAGCGAGCCTGGGTTGAGAAGTGAGGAACAGCGGGAGCAGCTGTTTTGCACGCTTTCTGTACGCGGAGAAAGGAGAGGGGTTTGCACGCTTTCTGTACGCGGCCCCAACAGGCAGACCCTCTGGAGGTGCATTTCTCAGCTTTCCTCCAGGGGAGATTACAGTCAACATCCATAGGACACCTCAAGGAGAGAGATTACAAGGGAGGGGTGAGGGAGAAGTGGAGGAAAATTGGGGTGGGTCAAAGCGGAAGGCGGGGAGAGGGGAGAAAGCAGTGAAAAGAAGAAGGTGGAGGGTGGAGTGGTTGGGACTGAAAGACCTGCCCCTCCCCTTTTTGAGGGAAGTCTGCCTGATGCCATCTCAGGTTGGCAGAAGGCCTTGTGCTCTTCTTAGGGTGACAGGGACTGTTCTTTTTGTTGTTCTGCTGCCGAAGTCCAGAAACGTTAAGCTGGAGGGACTTTGCAAAATCCCAGCATTGCTAAAAGAAGCTTCCTTAGGGGCTGGTTGGTTATTCTCTGTGGAGAACTTGGGTGACTCAACCTTGAAGCTTAACATGGACATAGTCCCTGCCATTGTAAAAAAGAAAATCAGATGGTTCGAACTATCCTTAACATGAACAAGACAATCTTATGGAGACAGTATGATCTGTAGACAGCCTGATACGCATCTCTTAGAGTTGAAAGGACCTTGGAAACCATGTAGGCAACCTGGGTAGCTTCCCCAAACACCTTCTTCTCAATTATCTTTCTTGTTTGTAGCCTTATGGCTGATTTGAAAAAGCACTTTAAGTTTTTTATTGATTTTTTTTTTTTTTTTTTTTTTTTTAAGTTTGGCAGTTCTAAACCAAATGAGACCCTTCTTCAGTTCGAAAAGGAAGCCTGTGTGCTCTTCCTCCTGCCTTCTGGAGTGCCTCTCAAGGCCAGCAGGGACTGAGTGTCAGGGGTGTCAGGGGAATTTCACTGAAGGAGAGAAAGGAAGGTTGGTAAATTACAGTCTTGAATAGTGATTTGCTTCTGTTAATCCCATTAAACTGAGAATAGGCTTATGTAGACTGAAGTCTAACAGGAGGATTAGGTAGAATTATGTTTTCTTACTAAAGATGACACATCTTGAAGTTTGTTTGATGATAAAGGTATTATGTAAAAATAAACAGAACAAGAATCATTCCTTATTTTAAAAATGAATCTTATAGGACCGAGGTTTTTTTTAGGCATCCCAGGAGAGTAAGGAAGGACATTGTCCTACTCTGGCAACTTTGGAGTTCCTCCAAAAGATGAAGGAAATAATGGTTCATTATATTTCTTTCTTTTTTGAAAATTGGTTTACCTTTCTTTGGTTATTACAATGTAAGGAACTATGTGAACAAATATTATACACTTGGAAAATATCCTGAGCATACCTCAGAATACCCACTTTTTTGGCAGATGTTCAGCTTTATGAGGTGTCTGATTATTTTTAAGCTATTAATTAACTTCTAGCATATATTTCACCAGTTTTAATAAAATTAATGTTCTCTTAATCAAGAGCTGATAATTTAATTTGTGGATTACCCATTTGAATTTCCAATGGGCTCTATGAGTGCTTTAACATTGCAGGTATATGTAACTCACATCCCCATTTCATAATAGAGAATTCCTTGTCAGTTAAAAAACTATAAGGATTGAGTGGAGCCCTGGCCATCTGGCATAAAAAATTCATCAACTTGCAGTGGGAACTCAAAAGTCATTATAAAGAAATTAATTCATCAACTCCACTCATTAATTAATTCAAAAAATGTTGATAAATATCTACCGTGTTTGAGGCATAGGCAACTTCTAGGACTAAAATAAAGAAGAGACAGTTTATTCTCAGGGGCAAGACTGATTCCCCAAACTAGGAAATCCATTCCAGAATAATAGTTGGGAGAAGGGAAAGTACAGGATGTTATGGGAACAGAAAGGAGGGCAATCTAATCCAGGGTTTAAGACCAGGGAATAATTGCTGGAGGTGGTAGTGGTAGTGGTGTGTGTAAGGGCGATGGGGTGGTTGATAGTGGTTGGGAGAGGGAAAAATGATGAACAATGGATTTCCCCTATCCTCAATATAATCCTAATTAGATTTGTTAATTTTTCACTTGGATGCCGGAACTTCACATTAATAGATGAGGAAGCAAGCATGGACATGGTACATTTTTCTGCTAGAAGTAAGAGTGTAAGTTTCGTGAGGCAGGAACTGTGTGTAACTTGTTTATCACACCATTACAGAGAAGAATCAAGATTCTGGTTGACATTGTTTGTCATTTTCTACCTCTACCATGGAAGTGGGAATAAAACATGAAGGGAAGGCATTATGGTGGGGAGGGAGCTCACATTTCCTGAGCTCACACCATCCCAAGTGCTCTCCATACACTATTCCACTAAACAATTTCAACAACTCTGTGACATAGTTCTTCTTTCATTTTATTGTTGATTTCAAGGACTGAGCTTCAAATTGCATTTTCTGTCTATGGTGTGGCAAAGTCCAGAGGGAGAGAATGAAATGTTTACAGGTAGGTTTCAACATTTGTCAGCTTTCAGAAAGTTATGCTTTGTTAACCAAGCATAACCCCCAAATCTCAGTGGCTTGGTATGGTAAAATTTAGTGGCTTGCTAATAAAGAATTTAGCTTTATTGGCTTCAGCTAATTTGATTATCCACCAATTTAGTGGATTGGCTTCAGCTCCATTTGGGGATCCAGACTGATGAAGCTAGGCCATTTTTATAGGAGAGGGGAGGGTAGCGGGGGAACATCACAATGGCTCTTAAAGCTTCAGCTTAATTATAAGATAAATCACTTATGCTCACATTCCATTCGCTAACCCAAATCACATGGCTAAGCCTGATGTCAACTGAATAAAAAGCAGGTTTCCTCCACTGGGAAGGGTTCCAGGGAGGGATTCTGTAGAGATGGGCCTGGGAGTCACAGTATTTGTGAATAAATTATTAAATTGATAACAATCTCCAGGAATGCTTTTGAATGAAGGCATTTTCACTATAAAATGTTTTATTTGTTGATACTATTGGCTAACTGTGTTCACCAACCTTAGGATATGGAAAGCAAAATAATGAATTTAGGTTGATTAGCTTAATTGACTAGAATATAGCTTAATTGATTAGAATGTATTATTTAGGACTAAACTGTTCAGAGAACAGTTGGCAAGGTGACCTTGCACTGAGAAAAAGCTCTACTCTCTGGCCGAAAGCTGGCTCTTCCTCCATGTTGGCATGTGCTAATATTTGTTCCCATGAAGAAATAATTAAGGCAGACTTGGTGGAACAAAACCTTAAGCTCTAGTGGTCTTGGCTCATGATAACACATTTTTTTCATCAAAATAATCATGAGAAGCAGCTCACTTGCTCATGAGTAGAAATAGTTGATAAGTTTTCAACAACCATATCTTGAACACCTCCAACCTGGAAGTTTGAAAGAGATATAGGATTTGGTCCCTTCTCTAAAGGCAGTAAAAACCCAAGGTAGGTGAAGGCATTTACGTGAAGGAGCTGAAGGAGCAGAGAAGCCTCTGTGGAGAAATTGGGGCTTTGGAAATATGTGTAGAGTCTGAGTAGTCCCTCTTGGTGTAGGGCTAATCCTTCTGTCTTCCTGCCCTCGAGTACCTGCTTCTCTGTGCTCTAGGGAGTGATCGCTATGTGTCACGCATGTGCGTCTGGGGACTCACCAGCCTAATCCTTTTCTCAGATGGACAGGTGACCATGTGGACTAAACAATTATGTCCCTTTGCCCCTCTATTCTTTTTTCTTTTTCATTGTTATGAATTTTTCATTTTGGGGGGTATATAGGAGGTATATATATTTATAGAGTACATGAGATGTTTTAATACAAGCATGCAATGTGAAATAAGCATATCATGGAGAATGGGATATCCATCCCCTCAAGCATTTATCCTTTGAGTTACAAACTATGAAATTATATTCTTATAAATTATTTTAAAATGTACAAATAAGTATTATTGACAATAGTAACTCTGTTGTTCTATCAAATAGTAGGTCTTATTCATTCTATTTTTTTGTACCTAAGCCTCTGTATTATTAAATAAATAACTTACAAGTGGATACCATGAAGGCACAAAAAACAAGCAGTGTGCTGATCAAGTTCTGGCAACTGGTGGGAAGGACAGGGTGGCTGCTTGTGAAAGTGACTCATCTGTTCATGCATAGGCATCCTCGTAATGAAGGACTCCTTTGTTTCTGCCACTCCTGAGTCCTAATCAAAGCTGGCAGTCCTTGTTATATGTTCATTGGTGGCCTTTGGTGATTTGGGAGGTGATTCACTGATGTTAGGGCAGCTTCCTCCTTTCACCATTGTACTTGACATTCCTATGTAGGCTGGTCATCAAGCATTCTGACTTTAGAGTGAAACTTCAGGGTTCAGATTCCAGCTCCACTACTTACAGCGGAGTGACCTTAGGACAACTTATTGTACATTTGTCTCAGTTTCCAACATCCCTAGAATAGGGATGATAAGTCTTGTACAGAGGTTTCTGACGTGAGACAGTGAATCAAAGTTCATGGCACAGTGGCTGGCACACAGTAAGTAATGGGTGTTAGTTATTACTGTGATTTTTTTCCTTTTTATTTACTGTGCAATAAGGCAATTCATTTCTCAGATTATTTTTAATATCTGTGCCTCTGGTTTCTAGCAACTTTCTTCTGGTCTGCATATAGAGATTCTTTAGCCTAAATATTCCCTGTACCCTCTCATTCTCCTGCCTATTCGTTGAATGTCTCTCACATCTATATCATCTTTGCCTCTATTTACCATTACCGTTTAATGTCATAAAGA